GTGTGTGTAATAAAGTATTTTGTATTATATTAAATGTATTAAAATATATATTATTAAATATGTATATAGTCAAAAGGATTTCTCTTGCCTCATCTACCATCTTGGGTGGATATTTTTTCACTCGTCACATTGCATTATGGTATTATCTTTTATGTTAAGGAAACATGCAATGCTGCCTTAAGGGCCTTTCGCACAGGACACACTCTATCATTTTCATTGTTGTTTTATGGCGCTAAGTGGGCATCTGTGACTCTTGCCACTTCTTAAGACACCATATCAGGTTAAATTAAGTTCAACTTTTAAAAATGTGTCTTGAGACCTTATGGTTCATTCCTCTGCACTGCGTTTAGCTGCTTTTCAATGCAAGAACACGTCCTGTATGAACGGCCTCTTAGGATTTGACCAAAAGAAGGTATCTTAAAGGGATAGTCCACCCAAAAATGAAATAGCATTTTTTGTCTATACAATTAAAATAAATGGGAACCAAAACCATTCTTCAAAATACCTCATTTTGTGTCCCACAGAAGAAAGCAAGCCATACAAGTTTGGAATGAAATGAGTTGAGTAAACAATGACAGAATTTTCATTTTTGGGTGGGCTATGCCTTTTAAGATATCTTCTTTTTTTTGGGTGGACCACCTCTTTAAAAAGCAAACCCACGTAAGCCTTAAAGTTGCACCTAAAATGTGTTCTAATTAAGTCAAGTCAAGTCAAGTCACCTTTATTTATATAGCGCTTTTAACAATACAGATTGTGTCAAAGCAACTGAACAGCATTAATTAGGAAAATAGTGTGCACTATTCGGGGAACAGACACAGTCTTTATAGATTGGACAGCAGACTATGTTTCGGAGCAGAACCCGTGTGTCAGGCCTCCCAGAAATGTGTTTGTTTATGCAGGGTGCTATATATGTGTGGATGGCAGGGATTTACTCTAGTTTGAGGACAAAAATGTCCCCAGAAATGAGCTAAATCTGACAAAAGCTCTCTTTTGGGACCTCAAAGGCACAAATGACTCATAAACGCAGTAAATAATGCTATCTAAAAATGCAATGTGCACAATGATTTATAGGTGTTCCTGATGGGGTTCAAAGATCTGTGACTATCTGGCAACCACCTGTTATCACACACTCTAGTACACACTCGCACATACAGACTTTAATTGCTCATTAATGTAAGGACTTTATCACAGAAAACTCCTCCAGTCAAAGTTTCGAC